CCCCTGCCCTCTCCCCACCATGATCCCTCAATGCACAGATCCTTCTCGTGTTCAAGCTGCCAGCAGGGGCAGATTCTCTGTGAAGTAACAAAGTTTGAACTTTCCAGTAGAAGGGGGATGGGAAATAGCCTGAAGAGGCTAACCTTAGCAGAAGCATGCCACGTCCGCCAACTCCAATGCCTGTGGTCCCCTGTGGTGCCCAGGGACAAAGCCCTCCAGGTCAGAGAAGGAAACCTTCCTGGAATACTGGACCTTACCCTGCAAGGTTTCTCTTGGCCAGTGTGACTGAGGAGAGGGTGAGAGAGGACAGGAGGGTGTGTTCGAGGCCAGAGGGCACCTCCACGAAGGGATGTTTGAGCCCGTCCAGTCTTCCTGCACAGGCCCTGCCTTACGGGTCGGCCCCTTCACCCTCCTTCATCACTTCTCTTTTCAGAGGACAGAGAAATTATTAATAACGCTGTATTATCAAAAGTCAGCTATGGCAGCTGAGGCCTCGTAATCCTATTACTTGAGAGACCAGGGCAGGAGGATATCTCTTAGTTTGAAGTCAGCCTGGGCCACGTAGCAAGACCTTGTCTCCAAAAATAAAGAAAAGGAAAAGGAGAAAAGCCCAGAGAAATCATAATATTACATCATCAACTTCAAATAACCTTTGCGTGTTGTAGCACCCACAGCCATCATTTCCAGTTTTATTAACACAGTGGATTTAATAAGAACAGCTGCCCCCAGGTGATTGGTGAGTTGGGCAACGGTAAACAAAGCTAGTAATTATTGTGTCTTCTCAAGCAAGGTCAGTCCTTTATCTCCATCTATTCTCTTGGGCCAGCAACCCTCTGCCACAGATGGATACTCTGATCCACAGAGCCGATCTCCACGCCTCCCGGTAAGATGAGAAAGCACTTGATAGTCTAATGGTGCAGTGCACGCTCGTGCTGAGCAAGCGCCATTAACTCTGACGTCCTAGTCTTAGCACCGCGTGGCCGCTTCCAACGGCGAGCAGGCAGATGGGGTCTTTAGAGCGCTTATGTAGAGAAGCAAGGCCTCATCCATGCACAATATCTTATTGTCCCCCCTTGAATAAGAAGCTCAGTTTGCAAAAGAAACCTGGTATCAGGTAATCTGGGTGTCATCTCCGTTGTTACAACACTTATTTACACAGCGCAGAAGTCCAGATTCCCACAGCCACGGTGAAATTCATGTGCCAGTGTGAATAGAAAGCAAGCACCCTGACTACAGATGTGGCCCCTCTGAGGTCCCTTGGGAAGCCACACAAATGGAAAGTGGTAAAATAGTAATACTTCTTCAGTGATACTTTGTCCCAAGCAGCTGCCAGCAAGGAGGTGGTTAAGGTGTTTGCTTGACAAAAGGAGACACTGAGGCTGGAGGAAATCAGGCCCCAAGGGATGCAGAAAGGCAAGAGGTGATGTTGAGCTCTGGCCTGGCAGTGAAAGCCATTTTTGTCCCTTCCCTCGAGAGCCAAAAAGAGAAGTGAGGATGTCCTGAGTCAGGTTCAGGTCAAAGAGCGCTGACACTCTAGAGAGGAGAGGCAAGGACCAGAGAGGTGAGGGGGATGTGCGGGCATATGGGAGTCCACGTTGCCACTGCAGAGTCAGGGTTTGGGAGGTAGAGTTGGAAACCTGACCTCTTGTATTTGAGAAGGGAGCCAGGAAAATGACTCCGAAGGAATAATGCAGTCATAATGTCAGGAAGCAGATGCGTGCGTGTGGCCAGAAGATCCCAGCTACGGTGTTAGGGGCAGAAGCACTGGACGCGTTAGAGCCAGACCATGTTTGCAAAGCAAAGCAAAGGGTTGAAGGGAGACCAGAACAGCGGGTTGTAGGGACCTGTGAACTCAGGGACATCCGTCTGGGTCCTCCCAAACGACCGGCCCCTCTCCAGGGAAAGAGCGGAGCATGCCGGTACCTGAGCTGTGGGGCACGGAAGAGGGTTCAGTCCAGGCTGGGTAATGGGTATTTTAAAAAACTATTACCGTGATGCATTTGACTGAGGTTCTGTCTGTGGAATGAAAACTAGCTGAATCCTTGCTGAGTGAGAACGCGCTGACTGTGTGGAAGCTTTGTTGGGGAAGGACCCGGTCTGCAGGACGTGTGTCCTGGCCACTGGTTGCTTGGATGAGAGCTAGTCCCAGTCCACTCATCACCCTCAGCCAGGTGCAGTGTCCAGTATCCTGCTTGTCTGGCAGCGCTGCCATCAGCGTGTGTCTGTTTCCCTCGGGGTGTAGAATCGTTCGTGTGCTCCCCAGACTCCGAGAGGACTGGAAGGAGCACATGAAGAGATGGAAGAGGGATGCAGTGGGGGAGGGGTGCTTCAGGAAAGGGAGGTGGCAAGCTAGGAAGACGCACGCATCAGAGCTGACAGTGTGGCCCTTCCCGTCTGGCCGTCATTGTCCTGCATACACTGAGGTATGGCTCTGTCCCATGACTACTGGGTGACCCAGAAAAGAGGCCACCCCAGCAAATGTGACATGCCGATTCAGGTTGTCACATCTGCTGTGTCCAAGTCTTGGGCAGAGCGCTGGAAAAATAAGATCGACCCAAATGGCCATTTAAACTTTCCATTGGCAGAGGACTGGATTAAAAGTTTAAAAGGGGAATGGTTTCCATTTGAGGAGTTTGGTTCTTAGTGAAATGAAGCAGCGCGGACAAAAGTCTGCAGAGGCATGGGAACGTGGCTAATTGGGTTCTGCGGTCTTGAGATGGGTTTGGGATGCTGTGGCTTTTCCAGCAGAAGCCTGCTGCACCTCTGAGCTGCAGGCCTCTTTGGCTCTCCTCTCCAGTTCCAAGGGCGCCTGGCAGGGTTACGAACAAGGGAGACCCCTGCAGACTGAGGCCGCGTGGTTCTGGAAACTAAGAGTTTTATCTACCAAACTGTGCAGCAAAGGATTGCTTCCGAGAACGCCGGTCCCAGTGTGGCAGCCTCGCTCCCTGGGAGCAGACACACATTTGAATCAGACTCTGTTTTAAGTCAGTGCAGCACAGGAGTGTGTCACATAGCATGGAAGGAGAGTCTGGGCCGGAACAGAGGCGGAAGTGAGCGCTATCACAGCATCACATCACGGAGGGTTTGTACCTAGTTCAGATCTGTGATGCTGCCACGTGAGTTACAGTAGCTTTCTGGTCTCCTGAGCTTACTGGCGTTTGGAACTGTGACTGAGGAGATGCTGGCCTCTGTCCCTTACCATGTTGGCACAGGGCTGCAGTCCCTGTGCCCCCCCTGGCCTTCAGCTCCCCATCTGATCCCAGCTCTTCCACACTGGGAAGGGGCTCTGAGCTGCAGGCAGCACCCGATGGAAGAAGGCAGGCCCACACTGGGCTCTGACCCCCCCCCAAGGCAAAGGGCTGGCCTGGTGTTATCACCTCCAGAAATGGTAGGCTCAGAGAAGAAGCATCCTACAGGGGTTTGAACAAACAGGTGACTGGAATAGTTGTCAGTGAGGACACCTAGGATAGATAGGCCCGGCTTCCAGACTACCAACCCAAAAGTGTGTGTCCCCCACTGAAGGGAACAGGACCCAGTACCTCTGGCCAAGTGACAGGGTTCTGACCAGGTGGTCACCTCCATCCCCAGAATTAAAGACGGCTGCATTGCATATGTGTGGCTGCCTTACCCGTGACAGCCCTGTGTCCCGTGCTATAGATGACAGCAGATTGTCAACTGTCAGAAGTTAAGGAAGATTCCAGACGACAGGTTCACAAGGTCCTGTCACAGAGAACGAAGGGCGCGATATGGAAAAAACAAAAAGAAAAGGCAAGGGCAAGAATACCTGAAAGCTGGGAGGTCGCACCAAGTGTGGTATGGTGTCCTGTGCTGTCAGGAAGGCCAGCACATGGCAGGCTGTGCTCAGCCTCCCACCATATTCACTCTGAGAACATCAGCACTAGGCAGCTCCTGCAGAGGGGCAGGAAGGTATCAGAGGCCCGAGGTCATCCGTAAACAAAGGCCCTGGAGAGACCCGGAGACACCCGCCTCCCCGTCAAAAGTTCCCAAACCTCAGAGCGCTATGGGGTCACCTGGCCAGATGGTGCCCAGCCATGCTGGCACGGGGTCAAGTCTGAGACACCGTGCACAGGCGTGGTGAAAACTCAGGGTCCCTGAACCATGTGTGTCCTGCAAACAGTACACTGCTTGCTCATATCCCATGGGGCGTTCGTGTATGTGCTTTATTCATATGGAGGTTTCTTTTTAATTGGGTTTGTGTGGGGATATGTGTGCCTAAGTGCAGGTATCTGCAGGGGCCAGAGGTGTCAGATCCCCTGGAACTGGAGCTACAGGCGCTGTGAGCCGCCCAGAGTGCACGCTGGGAACTGAGCCTCAGGTTCTCTGCGAGAGCTGGGCACACTCTGAACCACTAAGCCGTCTCCGCACTCCTGTTTCAATCTGTTCAACTGAGGGGTGATTTACACACAGCAGATTTGACTAAGAACCACATCAGTGCACACACGCTGCACGGAGTCTCAGGCTGCAGCCCATGGGCCAGGCCTGGCTGCCCACCTGCTTTTACCTTAAAGCCTTTCTGTGGCATGAAGACAGCAAAGCATGCATTCGCCCACACAGACAAAAAAATGTTTGCTGCCGGCCCCCCACAGGAAAAGCAGGGCCATTGGACACACCATGTCTCTCCCCTCTCGGCTGGCTCCCCCTGGCCTTTCACGGGTACCCCCTGCCCCCCAGCAGCCACTGATCTGCTTTCTGTCATGCAGTCTTCTGCCTTCCCACGGCCGTACATAAATGAAGTCATCCAATGTGTTGCCTTTTGTGTCTGGCTTCTTTGACTTGCAGTGCTGAGATTCACTGTCTGGGCTTTGGCGTCTATGAGTTCTTCATCCCTTTGTTCTGTTCTTTCTGCACGGTATGATAGTCCATGAAAGGCAGAGTTCGCCCCCCGGGAGGGTGAACAGCATCCTCATGCTTCACCCATGTGCAACATCAGGTTGCCTGGATCCCAGGAGTGCCCGCTCTCACCATGCCTGTTTTTGTAGGTATGAACAACCGAGAGGTGTTGGAGCAGGTGGAGAGAGGCTACAGGATGCCCTGCCCACAGGACTGTCCCATCTCCCTGCACGAGCTCATGATCCACTGCTGGAAAAAGGATCCGGAAGAGCGCCCCACTTTCGAGTACCTGCAGGGTTTCCTGGAGGACTACTTCACCGCCACGGAGCCCCAGTACCAGCCCGGTGAAAACCTGTGAGAGCCTGCTCTTCAGAGACCTCTCGTCCAGGCCTCCCCACCCCTCCCCATTAGCTTCCAGTTCCGTAGCCAGCTGCCCCTGAGCAGCAAGAACCGTCCAGGATCAGATTGCATGTGACTCTGAAGCCGGAACTTCCTCGGCCCTCATTAATGACATTTGTCCCCCAGTCCGAACCTCCTCTGTGAAAGCATCCAGACAGAACCGTGTGATTTCTCAGACTTTGGAAATGCATTGTATCGATGTTATGTCAAAGGCCAACCTCTGTTCAGTGTAAATAGCTGTTCCCGTGCCAACAATCCCATAGTGCTCTCCTTTTTTAAAAAAAAAAATGCAAATCCTATGTGATTTTAACTCTGTCTTCTCCTGATTCAACTAAAAAAACAAAGTATTATTTTCCAAAAGTGGCCTCTTTGTCTAAAACAATAAAATTTTTTTTCATGTTTTAACAAAAACCTATCAGGACAGGCGTTTGCTTTTTTTCTTTTGTATACATTGAATGTATATGTAAACATATGTTCCTGTACAAAGACCATGTGGGTGCTACCGTGGAGACTGTGGCAGGCGAAGGCCACATAGCACAGGGCCCAGAGTGAGGAACTAGGGAAGCCTGCCTCTACGCACTGGTGTCAGTCATTCTGAAAGCCGGTGGCCTCTGTTTTTTACTTCTGCAAAGCATGATTTTCCCCCTTCATCTGGATTGCACTTTTTCTGTTCCGATCATACCTGTAGATTGTTGTCCGTGTGGCTTTCCAGGTCCCTGAGCTGAGTTCACGCGTTTTAGTACCCGTTTTGCTCCTGTACCTGTGATCTGTTCTTGAGGCTTGAGAATGAGCACACTTGGGCAAGCAGACAGCCAGTCCTCCCCTGAGGGCTGGAGGACAGAGCCCGCACAGACTTGCTGTTTAGATATGAATGCTGAAGTGTTCCAAATGTTCTTCTTTTATTTAATAAATCTTGTAACCACACTAAAATGGCCTAAAACCCAGATAGCATTGTAGTCACGGCAACCTACTAAACTTTCTCATGCAACTAAAAGTTATGGGGAAAGGAAGGGAGGGGTTTGCACATGTGCCATTGTACAATAAGTGTTTTAAAGACCTGTACTGCTAACGGATGACTTACCATGTCGAGCGTACTCCAGTAAATAACTATGCACTACTTTACATTTCATGCACAAAAGTGTTGCATTTTTTAGTTGCTGTTTGTGCCAACCTTGAATTACATATGTTTAACAACAACAAATCAATTCCTATTTCTATTGAGTTTTTTAATACTGAATAGCAACTCTGAAGTCTTAATTCCTTTTTTGTTAATGATTTATTTGTGAGTTGACTTTTTAATTGTTTAACTTTCTTAATTTAGTAATTAAAAAAGAGCATTTTACATTTGAAAAAAAAAATTTGTTCATTTGTGTACATCACAGGAGGTACCCTAGGCGCTCTGTGACTTTATCTGACCCACACCAGATGGTGAGGAATCACCTGGCGAATTTGGCCATTGGGCAATGATTTCCAAATGACAGAAACATTCCAAACATCTGGAGACCCTCCCCACCAAGAGGCAAAGCGATTGGCTAATTCAGAAGACTGTTGCAGCCAAATTGGGCATTCCTGAGTGCTGGAGTCTGTTTGACCCTGTCTCTAACAGAAATTTACTGTGTCTCATTTGTTCAGGAGAGAGAATAGTATTTCTTGGTCTTGAGACATAAATACGTTTCCAAGTATCCCTGTACTTCTATAATGAAGTTGCTAAGCAGGAGTCGGTGTGGTGGGTGGGCCTGGTAACTGTCCTCCGTCATTGCTGCAGACCCTTGAGCAGCTGCCTGTGTGTCACCTTCGGGAGGAACAGATGAACTCTAGCTGCTTACAGCCTTAAGGCTGCAGAGTCCCTGGTGTTTCAGAGCCATGCAATGAAGAAGGGGGTTTTATTGTTACAGCAAAGGCTGGTTCACATTGGGGGGGACATGAAGCATTTTAAAGTCAGAACTTGATTATTTTGGATATGAATACCCTTGACAGAATTTCAGAGATTTATTAGGTACAATTTTTATCACATTGGACTACTCATTAACAGGTTCTAGTTTTTTTTTTTATAATGATAACTATTTTCAATCCTACCTTTGCCTTAGGTAATTTGCAAGTATTCTCTGGAGGATGTTTGTTTTGACTTACTGAAGAATCTGAAAAAGAAACTGTTTTAAGAAGAAATTCTTTGAGGGAAAAAAATAACGTATTTGCTTTTTACTTCAAGTGGGTTCACTGTGGGTTCTTGTCTATAAAGGGAAACTGAGGAGGTCGTAGGTCAGTGCTGGGGGCCTTATCTGTGAGAGCAGAGCCCTGGAGCATTGTGGGATGTGTGCATAGCATTGAACAGAAGAAATGCCATCAGGGAGAAAGCAGACAAGACTGCAGTTTTCCCAAGTGCCCACTGTGCTTCCTAGAGCTAGTCCCCTGGTCACCTCTAGGGAGTCAGTCACAAGTGATAGAAGTTCCATCAGGGAACTGAAATTGCTTACCAGAAGGTTCTCTTACTACAAAAGAAAATACCGCTTTCCTGTGACTGCAGTGAAATTCTGTTTGTCTGTTTAGGGGTGTATGGGGGCCTTGTTTTCTGTTTGTTTGTTTAGGGGTGTGTGTATGGGGGTCTTGTTATTGTTGTTTTTGTTTAGTAAAACCCAGGAGGAGGACATCAGTACTTGCTCCCTAAGAGCCGCCAGCTGGCCTTGCTCAGCTGCACAGAACGCCTTCCCGAGAAAATCTAAACAAATACGAAGCCGACTGGAGAAGCCCATTTTCATAGCTCAGGAGTAAACACTGATAAAAGGGCTCCTCTTCACGCCATGGTTGTTACACCACAAACTCCGACTGCAGCACGGAGGTACCGGATAGGACTGTGGTAGATGCCAGGTCACACATGTCAGCATCAGCTCAATGGACTGCCCAGGCCCTGCTATGGTGGGAACAGGAGTTTCCTCAGGAAAAGTCAAGGGTGACCATGATCCCTCAGAAGCTGCCACATGACTCAGGATTTCCAGGCAGCTGTGTGTGCTTACTCACCTGGAGACAGATAGGAATCCTGTTAGCACCAGAGCTACACAATTTTGGTCCGCGATTTCCCACGGGGCTGTAACAGCGCCTGCCATGTTAATGGGAATGGTTCTTTGATGGGCAGCATGCGGGCGGAGGGGAATAGCACCGTAGCTTCCTGCAGGAGAGATGACGAGCTGTGTTTGAGTAAAATGGTGTATGGATGGTCAACTTGTTCTGGAGGATGTTTTATAGATTCAGATGGTTTTTGGTGGCTTGCTTTCCATTGTATGTTCTCCTGGAAGAGTCAGTCAGCCTAATGTCAGAAGTCTATTTTCTGAGGGGAAGATGAGAGGGAGAGAAGGGAGGAGGTTGGCTTTGGTCCTGGAGTGGGAAAAAAGCAACCCCAGCAGCATCGTTATTTACGTCTACTTTTTTTAATTTCTCAAGTGTAGATTCTAACTCCATGGAACACAATGAAAAAGTAATGACTGTAGTATCATTGTAGTATCCAACAAACCTTCATAATTTGTGTTCATAATTCAGAGAAGCCTCATAACATCCAAACCATTCCTCATCTTTACCTAATATGCAAAATATTCAGAATCCCGTGGAGGAGGATATGGGGGCCAACATACCCTTGTTTTAAGTTAAAAGCGGGAGCACATAGCTAAGTGGTGGAGCACTTGCCTTGCAAGCCTGAGGCCCCTCTAGCACCACACATGCCCATACACAAACCTGCGTCCACACGTGTGCACACAAAGCTTGAGGTTGAAATATAAATAAGTGGTTGTGATTTTGCAGCGACGGCCCTGTGAGAACGCAATGACTGCTTTCCCAACAGCCAGAAAGAACCGTGTGCTCCGCTCAGAGGTACTCGGAGTGCACGGCTTCATGCTTGGTAGCACTGATCTTCTCCAACAGGTTTTTCCAGGCAAGGCTGAGCACTTGTGGGGACCAGAAACGGTGTGGTGTTTTCATCTCACTCCTCCTAGCCTTGAGCAGCGCCGGGCTCCCAGCAGGTGTGGGGTAGATGCACGGGTGGATGGATAGATGGGCAGCACCCATCAGTCAGGTGGCACTTGATAGACCCCTTCTATTTGTGTGCCCATTACCCACAGCGCCTCCCTAGCTGTGTCAGCCCGTGTGTAAATTCACAAAAGGTACTACTCAGAATCCCAAGGTGTTCGGGTGGTTTTGTTCTGAATATTTTTCTTTTAGCTAATTATCCAGTGCTTGCTCTGCAATAATCAATGGGTAGCTAATTGGAAGCAAGAGAGAATGAAATGAGTATATTCGGATAGTGTTTTTAATGAAAAGCATACATGTAATACTGTGGGGAAACGGTACAGAGATTTCTTTCTTTTTTTTTTTTTTTTTTTTTTTTTTTTTTGCATGTGTTTACAAACGGATTCACATAAGCCTGTTACAAACTACATCCAAGCCTGTGGATCCTTTGGTTTCATTTTTTTCAGACCCCACCCCGCCTCCGCACCAAGGGGTGGGCACTTGAGGATAAGAGGAAGGAGCCAAGCCTCTGGAGACAGGGACTGGAACCCCAACCACCCTGCATGAAGCTGAAGGCCTGTCAGTTCCCAGAGTGTGTGAGGAAATGGTTAGCACATGACAGCGGTTGCCTAGAGAGATAGGGAATGAATAACAATGCTCTCCGGTAAATTAGCCGTATTACATTGTCCACAACAAAGTGATGGTTGCACAACAAAGCTGCACGATGATTTGCCCACATCCTTCACATGAAATGCATTGATTTCTCCGCTCTGATAGACTCCCTGGTTTTAGAGCGTGGGCAGCCCCAGGGGCTCAGCAAAGCACCATTCCAGACAATTAGGAAGTGGAGGGGTAAACAGCGAAATCAAGATCAGCCAAAACCTTCATCAGCCACTGCACCTCTCTCTCCTCTCACCTGCGGATATCAGAAAGTATTCGTCTGTACATTCCTGAAGGTCTCCAAGTGAAAATGCAAGACATTAGTCATTGTCTTTGCTATCGCTGAACCGTGGCCTCCCCATGTTGGAGGGCAGGAAAGCGATGCTTCGTTCTGTCCGTATTTGTCTGCTCTGATTCAAACAGTTCCTGTGTTTTGAATAGCAGTGGGAGGATGGAAATAGAGCAGAGCTGTACTTAAAACGGCAAGCCAAGAACAAAAGCAGCATGCGTGCAGCCAAAGGGGACCTTGGAAGATGCATAGATGAAACAAAACGCTATGCCTGGCTGAGATTTTGTTTTCAAAAGCAAATGCAAAATGGATCGCGTTGTTCCAACCGTAAAGGTTTCTAAGCCTACCGTTCATGTGGGGGGATGGAAGGCTGTATCTGCTGTGACAGTCAGAAGCTGCACGGCTGCTCTGAATTATGATATTTGCTCAGGACCAATACCGTGTAGCATCGGTAGCTCTAGCATACATACCCT